AAGGTGTGCACCACCACACTCCACCTACATTTATTTTTTAAACCTTGAGAAGAGTGAGTGAAAGAGCATCATCAAATTACCAGTGACATGATTCACCTCGACTCAGAACAGGGCTCCCAGGTTATCCCCCTGTGACCTAGTCTCCCCATCCCTCTACCCAGTGAGACAGGAACAGGTCTGGGAGCAGAGCTCAGAGCTGCTGGTCCACATCTGAGGGGATTTTTCTCCTCTCACTTGGAGAAAATGAATGTGAGCATAGTCTGAAGCCCCGAGTGTTCCGTCTGAGTCATGGAGATCATAAAAAGAAGATGGAAGTGACAAAAGGCATGAGTTAGTGACAGAAGGAAACCGCTCTGCCCTGGGAAGTCCCTTACACCACCTGAGGCTTTGCAAGGCTGGGAGAACCTCCTCAATTCTGAGCACAATCCCAGATCAGCCAGGAGAAACAGAAAAGGGTTCAATATACGGATGGAGAAGGGGCTCTGGGGAGGATTGAGGTCTGCTTGTTCCCATAGAAACAGGCTGGAAATCAAGTTGTTTTGCATCTTCCCAGAACACCAAAAGACTCCACTCCAACCCTGGTGCTGAGACTTCAGAGATCCACTTACCAAAGACTGTAATGTTCTTGACTGTGGTCCTACTGAGGCAGTGACAGAGTTATTGACGAAGCAGGTATAGGTTCCGCTATTATTAGTAGTGATGTTGGGGACAAAGAGGTCTTGGAAGGATGCCTGGGGCGTCTCATTGAAAAGCCAAAAGCACTGTGCAGGTGGGTTAGAGTCTGCATGGCAGGAGAGGCTGAGGTTTGACCTTTGAAGCAAATAAATATCTGAGGGGGATATAACCGGGGTATCCGGACCATCTGGAGCAAACAGAATAAAGCCAAATGTGACGTCAGCAGAGGGGAGGGGAAGTCCTGGTCTGTAGAAGGCTACTGTATCTGCGCTATAACCTCAGTTAAGCAGGTCGCAGCCAGAGCTGGGGTGCAGGTTAGCAGAAGAGTACTCATGTAGCGTGCATGAACCCTGATCCATCACCAGCACAGGCAGAGAACAGCCCCACTGGACACTCATGGGTTCACTGAGCCTGTGTCCAAGATGTCCCCTGTGTCTCCATCACCATGAGACTCCCTTGTGGGAAAAGTCCCTCCAGCCCATTCTAGCTCAGTGCTGGGTCTGGCTGCGTGAGCTTGGGCGAGGCCAGTCTACCATGCCCACCTAGATATGTATGTGGTGGGTCTGTCGTGAACCCGGGAGCGACCGTGTGTCCTGGCTGCAGCCCTCTGTATTTAGGCAGTTGTAGCGATGACGGGAAAGAAGTTACTCACAGGTAATGTTCAGGTTGAACGGGTCGCTTCGGTTGGCACTCACTAGGTTCCGGGTTTCACACTCATAGGGTCCTACGTCATTCCTCGTGACATTGAATATAGTGAGAGTCCTGTTGCCATCAGATAGCTTCAGCCTGTCACCGTCTGAGAGGCTTTCGCCATTTCTGCTCCACAGGTAGGTTGTATTATCAGTGTAAGGTCCACACGTTAATACCGAGTCCTCACCCTCCATGGGATTGGAGTTGTTGGTTGTAATGGTGGGCTTTTGTAATAAGACTGTGCAGATAACAGAGAGAAGATTGCCCTGTGTGGTATCTCAGATCCTTACAACGGCCTCTTTCAATCCGAGCTGCTCTCTTGCCTCCCTGCCAACCCAGATCCTTAAAGAACCAGGCAGGAGGCGAATTACAGGCAGATGGAGTAGACGAGTGCTCAGAGGTGGTCGGGCCTCCTGTACTGTGTACGGGAGAAGCAAGGGCTTCCTCAGAAGTCAATTCAGCTGCGGTTTAGTGATGGACAGATTCAAGACTCAGAATCAGAGACCTCATTTTATCTCCCGGTGCTCACCGACCCACTGTGAGCCTTGAGACACAGTGTGTCAACTCCCTCCAGCTGCCAGGACCTCTACTGCTCAGTGTACACAAGTGTCTTCCAAGCCTCTGCTGTTCAGGGCTGTCCTACAGATAGGCTGTGATGACACTTCTCGTTGAGCTTCCCTGGGAAACCTCACAGCCCGCCAGAGATCTCACACAAGAGACCTGGATCTGCCTGGCATTCAAGCTGGGCCGGGCCACAAGGTCGGCCATTCTTGTCAGGAGTTTGGTGTTGACTGATATGAATAAGAGATCCCTAAAAAGAGAAGCCTGAGCCCAAGAAATTATCTAAAAGAGTCAAGAGCACCTCATAAGGTCTCCAGGGAGGGGAGGCTGGAGATGTGGCTCTGGACAGATGAACTCTGCCACCCAGTGCCTCTGTGACCCTGACTCAGTGACTATTCCCTGCCTCAGTTTCCCCATAACAGCACACATGGTAAATGATCATTGCCATGCCTGCACTTTAACCTTAATGAGGAACAAAGATCTGGCCATCCATAAACCAGAGTCTGTTACTATTTGCTGCAGGAATAATCCCTGGGCTGGGCACCCTAGAGAGCAAGGAGCTGCCACTTGTCCACTGTTTCTTCCTCTCTTTTAGGGCTCTCGACCTTCCTGTGAAGTCTCATAGAAGCATCAGAACAGCTGGCTGGTTGTCTTTCATACCTCTCCACCCATGCTGAGCACACTGGGTCTGAGAAGGAGACACCCAGGTGACCTCCCTCACACAGGGCTCTCCTATAAACTGACTGTCAACAGGCTACCAGCCTGCAATCAATCACTGTCCCTGTCAAATGTCAACCCAGTCTAAAAGCTTCCCAGGGTTCCTGGAGCCCAGGCTGGGTCTGGGGCAAAGGTTCCTGGTGCTCACCACTCTGTGAGAATCTCATGGTTTCCTCAGCCAGGCCCCACTTAAGGCCTGAAGCATCTTTCTCAAAGCCATGTTCAGGATAAGCATCCTAAGCTACTGGGCAGAGTCTGACATCCTCGGACTGAGTTACCTCACAGTCTCTTCTCTGAAAGAGTGGTCCAGGTGGGGCATCCTGGTTTGTGGCTCTTTTACTCCACTCTGTGTGTCCTGTACTAACTGGGCAAACCACAACGTGGGGAACATAATACAATCATCCAGGATTGACAGTTCTGTGTGTGAAGTAGGATTCGCTCTACCCACCACCCAGAGGTTCAGAGAACTACTTACCGTGCACATAAAATCGGACAGACATCCGGGTAACATCATAGTCTTCATTGCTCATACCTAGTGTGTAGATTCCCTCATCACTCTTGTTGACATTTTGGAAGAACAGGGATCCATTGCTGTATATTGTCTCTCTGCCGCTGTATTCCGGCCCTGTTTTATTCCTACTATTGGATGTTATAAACCGTACAATTTCATTTCTTTCATCCGTAGTGTCTCCCTTGTACCAGTTAAAGACTGTGAGTGTCTGTGGCAGATTGTGAACAAGTAGAAGAACGTCCTTCCCGTCAGCAACATCGGGCGGCACAGCCTCAATGATGACTTGGGCTGTAGTGGGAGGGCTCCAGGAGGATAAAAGTGAGGCTAGGAGGGGAGAGAGAAAGAGCTATCAGCATTAGGACCCTGGCAAAACCTCTCAGCCTCGGTGTGTGTGTGTCCTGTTGGGTGGCTGCCAGCAGCATCCCCTCCTCAGCATCGTTCCTCAGCAAGGCTGCATCTCTCCACTGTAGGCAAGGGTCTTCTCAGTGTTCACACAGCCCACAGCCCACTGCCCTCAGATCCCTGCTCCCCCTCAGAATCTTTGCTGAGTGCAGGGGAATCTTCTCTGACCTCCTCCTCTAAAGACCCCTTGCCTTCGTTTTCTGACCTTTTTCTGCTTTGTTTCTTTCCAAGTGCTTGTCAACCCGACCCCACCTTCCAGATGCCCTCTCTGGTCTGTCTTTCTGCCCAGCAGAACTAGGGCTTTGAGGAGGACTCGTTTGATTTTGGCTTAACCCCTGCTGCCTGGAACAGGCTCATATACCTGCTTGCTAATCAGTGTCCCAGAGCCTAGGGTTTATTTGCAAATTTCTCAGGGTAGTACGCAATGACGCTGTGTACTTGCCCCAGTTGGGTTTTTACGTGGAGAGTCACTCTGACAGAGTAGTGGACTTCAGTCATCAGGATATCCTGGCCAGCACGATAAGCTTAACAACAGGGAGCAAGTGAGCTTCTCCTCACCACTTGCCAATTCACAGTCACCGAGAGCTTCCTGTGCCTGGCAGGCTTCAAGCAGAAGCCAGATGTCCCCTCTCAGCTTCCTTTCCTCTCCCAGAAGACCCCATCCAGTCTCTGAGCTCCCCAGGAATGTCTCCTTACCTGTGAGCAGTAGTCCCATCCAGGGCA